ATAGAAAGCGGTTAAATAGGTTTTTTAACACACACTCTCAATTGACCTATTCCAGTTTTGTGTGCGAAAATGTATTTTTATTTATTTTATTCTTTCGCTTCAAAGCCACTCATTGTGTGTTATATAATGCCGTCGATTGAGTGGTAAAATATTTTATAACCATTTCTTTTACAAGTAAAACAGTATTTTGTGTTTCTGTGGTTTAACTCATTTTTGTATTTCATTTGCAATTTGACTGACAAATCCGTATTTGAAATAAATGTAAAAAATATCTGATCCAATGTTAAACTATATAATTAATGTACAATCTATTGAATTTATATTTAATTATAATTTTTAATTTTAGATATAAATATCTAAATGCTTTTGCCACATACAATTTAATTATACATTTAACAAAATATGATGTTTGGTAACAATTCATTTGGCAAGTATACTACAAACTTACATACGGGGTGTTGTTGTTGCAAAATCTATACAAAACCGGCATTTGCTTAAACTTGTACTATGTATTACTTTTAATATACAGTACAGTATTATTACTTGTATGAAATTTCCTTAAAATTCGAGTTGAGTTTAGTTTTCAATTAGTTTTTTGGTGTTTGAGAAATGCTTTATGTTTGTGCCGTATGAATGGCATACGTATTAACTCAGATAAGGAGAGAAATTGTGCCAACAATTAGCCCTAAACTATAAAATATAAATAATTTTCTCAAATTAAAAAACCTGTTATAAAGACAAACGAATTCACAAATGAAATTTAAAGTGAATTTTTGAATTTAAGAAAATAAAAGAGAAATATTTTTATTCAAAAAATATAATAAAATATATTTTAAACACTGATTAAACACAATTGAAAAAATAATTTTACCAAAAGATTTATTTATTAAACACACTATAATTCACGCAAATATATAAAAATATGAATAAATAAAAAATAAAATCCTTTAATAACACAATAATACGCTGAACTCTCTCTCTCCCTCTCCCGCTCTCTCTCTCTCTCTCTCTCTCTCTCTCTCAGTATCGGTATTACGGGTAATGTAAATAAAGTGTTGTAAAACCTTTATTATCTAAAAAATAGAGATTAAAACAATATGAATACAACACAAGAGACTATATGACACCAATGGTAAATGTGTTCACAATACGAGTTGTATAATATGGTAAACATATTATGTGGCTGTTATGCGTGCGATCGTATATTTGCTTACAGCGGTGTTCAGGAGTGTCAGGAAAATATCTACATGAATTATTCGCTCCATACACACATACATTCAAATATACATACAGTATAATTTTGACAAATAAATTAATCTAGCAGAAAATGCTGAATTAACATATACAGTATATAACAATGCACTTTAAGGTTGGGAAAACATTACAATACATTATGAATCCCTATGCCTTGTTTTAATATAAGCTAGCAACATTTTTCTCAACAAACGCATCGCCAAAACGCCAAAAATATTTTTAATTAAGCATTTGCTGCCTTTTAAACAATTTTCTCTCCCCTCCCCCTCCATGTCATCCCAGAGCCACCCCTCCCATCCCCTATCATCTCATTTCCTGTCCAAACACTGCCAGCGCTTCTTCTCTTCCCGTATTAATTGCTCTGCAAAACAATATTCTCTCTCTCTCTCTCCCCTCCCTCTCCCCCTCCCTAACTCACACAATGGTTAACTACTCCTCTATTTTTCTCCTTCTATTTAACTCAATAATACATCATTTATTGCTTTTGTTTAATTTTTGTTAGTGTTTTGAAAATTGTTTTTTATGTAACGAAGTTTTAAAAAATATAAAATTACTGAACATTAGTGTATAAAATGTGTACATTGTTTAACGGCATTGGGTGGTTTGGTATTTATATCGGCTAGCTCATAATTGCCACTATTTATACTCATTCAATAGACCATGGTGGTTGTTTAATGCCAAATAAAAACAATATTCACAGAATATATCACTCGCTATACATATACACAACAATTATTTGACTTTTAAACACAAGTCTTTAGTTGTTATCAGAAAATCTCATTACAAAAACACTCAATAAATATCCCTAATTAATATACAGTATAGATTAATATAGATTGTCAAATGAGTAAACGTGGCTAATTTACCGGCCGGTATATTCAACATATAAACCATATTCAATGTTTTATGCGGTAACAAATGCATTACATATACAGTATTGATGGACAGTTGTGAGCATCGGTTCGCTTACCTTTGAATCGGTGGCAGTTTTGCGGTCAATATATCCCTCGGTTTACAATTATATTGTCATCAAAAATAACAGATCATAATATTATTGATACACCAATCATTATATCATCCATCGGGCTATTTATATACGTAGACAACAGTCCGGTTATATAATAACCCTCTTATTACTGTTCATATAATCCGTATATACAGTACTGTCAATGAATAGTGATATACAGTGCGAACCATATGTACGGCACAATCAATACAGTGAGTGCTGAGCGCTGGCAGTCTCTCAGCTGTTGGGAAGCATTTGTGAGTTGTTTACAGTTTGGCTGCAAAACCAGTGCACATATAATATAGCGAACCAATGCTTACACACACTCTCTGGCACTACAACTGTTCGCATACTATAGTCATGTGAGTCCCTATCCTTCCAGGAGTCGATCCACTCATTCAACCCAACCATTCATTGCACGTATTATTAGAGCCATATATTAGAGCCGTATATTCTTCTCTCCCTTTCTATCCATTACAACAACAATAACATTGAGCCGAACCAGAGATCGGCGCACTTAACACATGCGCGCAATACCATAGTATGGGCTATATATCTACTGTACTGTATATGCAATCTATGTCTGTATATTTTGCACTCGGCTACAGAACCGGCTATACAAATTCTAGTGTTCCCAGGTCATTTTCCCAAATTCCTTAGTTATCTCATTTTTTAACAATTTTTTCGGGAGATTTTTGAAAGAATTCTTTGAGCTTTCCTTGATTTGACAAAATGGTACTTAAAAGTCATTTAAATGTATTTATTACCAAATTCAATAATGGTACCACCAAAATAATATGTCCAAATACAACAAAACATGTAAATATCTATGATTTTCTTTATTATTAACATATAATAATTATCATTATTGTAATGATTGACAAATTAATTATAACAAACAAAAAACAAATTCTAAATTAAAAAATTATAGTATTTAGCCTTATACTAATTCCTTGAGCTACCAATATCAAAGTGACACCCCCGCCGGGAGTCGGACCCTGATTCTGGAAGACTCCCGGGCAACCTGGAGCTTCTGGGAACACTATTTAGAATATACGCTGTAATACTTTACAGTATATATACGAACATATAGTATATATGGTATATATGAATGTTGTTGTCAACAGAATGGCAACCATATGATCACTACGAGCTCTCTTACATCATTGGCTCGTTTGAGCACAAATGTGTCCTAATTTCCTATTGGTTGGAATAACGTTCAACTCTACCGTAAACGTCATACCATATCGTCGGCTAAACACATCATGGCTTTGCTCTTATCATATATACTGTATATACATATATTTGCCTCATATATACCCTTATATATACACTTCAATAGATACTCTTTTCTAATCATAGAATATCATACGGTATACAGTGAACACTCCATAATATAAACTAGGTGCTACTTCTATAATAATTCTTTATAAATGGCTCCGATTCTTAATGATATAACATAGCAATTAATGTATTAATGTTACTATTAATCAATATTGAATAGTGTATGAAATAAGTCAGTATAACTGTATATGTTGAACAGAAAGTCGAACATGATAGAAATACCATATTTATTGTTTTAATACTAAATGTATAGAAAATATTGCGGTATTTCATAATCACCCATAAGATAGTGATAGATGTATTGTGATATTGGGCTAATAATATTAGCAAACATTCCATTGTAGGGCAAATATTGCGTTATCTAGCTTATTTTAATGCACATGTATGAAGTGTAAGTGTAGAGAATAAGTGTGCGTATATGCGATCAAATTAAATAGTTATCTAAAAATATAAATGTAGTAAATGTAGGAAAACATGAACATTCATGTTATACCATATTCGCTAAATTCATTAACAAAAATACGGCATTGAAAACACAAGCAGCTCATTAAGAATATGACGATGATCTTGAACAATTGTTCATTAATTATTTTTATGCTCAATGTTGTTCATATAAATTCCTGCCATTTTAAATGTAATACTTAATGTTAAAAAAAATTTTAAATTTTCATTTCTTCATTTTATTATATTTTTTAGAATTTTTTTATTCTCTCTCTCTCTCTCTCTCTCTCTCTCTCTCTCTGGTTCGGCTCAATGTTATTATCTCTCTCTCTCTCTCTCTCTCTCTCTCTCTCTTTCTCTTTTTCTCTTTCTCTTTCTTTCTTTCTTTTTTCATTAAATTACACATTGAATTGAATGCAAAAAATATTTAAATTGGGTTTTGTTATCACAATATGTAATAATCTATATATTATTTGATAGTAAACCAGAATTTTCAGTTGTGTTGCTGTCATTGTAGTGAAGGTTAGAAAACCGGAATTTCTAACCAAATTTTAGCCAATTTTGTTATGTTTGTTACGCTGTCTATGATCTCACAAAACAAATATTTTATTTCAACTTTTTTATATTTATATACCGTTTGTTTATTTTCAATAAACTTATATTTTTAATATGCTATGCAATTATAATAACATTGATTTTATTATTTTAATATAAATAGAGGAAGTAAATAATTTAATATTCCGGTCCAATTTATAAATTATGTAGTAATGAATATATTTACTATGATGTTATATTTGATTTTAATCATCGATATTAATCAACAATTCAAACAAATAAAGTATATAGTAAATTTATTAAATGTAAATAAAACTAATATAATATTGAATTTAATAAAATAAAACTGTCTATTCATTTATAGAATTTATATTCTAATAGATGTAGATGTATTATATATGCCTACCCTTCACCTAAATTATAATATCACATTATTAATAAAATGATATAATTTTGTAAATAACTTAAATGTGTTTCAATCCATAGCAGTCAAGTCCGCAATCCTAGAATTCATATTAAATTTAATGCTATAATATTTATAATTGTAATATTAATTTAAAATTATTTAAAATACTAACCATGATCTTTTGGACAGTTTGTTGTAATTTGGGATACTTTTTGGTTAATGCTGCATTTGTTTTAGTCATTTTGTCGTTTTCGCATTTTTCAAACTTAAAAATATAACATTTTACACATATATAATATTGTATATTCTATTTATATTAATTTAATACAATTAAACAATCAGAAATTGTTTTAAAATACCTTTTCACCTAGAACTTCGTCGCATTCTATTTTGATAATCTCTTTATAAGTGATTGGCTTTGAGATATTGGCCACAACTAATAAACACTCTTTTTCTATAGTCCTGAACTGTAAATCAAAACATAAAACAATAATTATAAACAAATTTAAGATTTAAAATAATTAAGAAAATGATCGATTTGGTGAACATTGCATATTGTTAATTTTAAATACAATGAACCAGATAATGAATTTTTTAGACTTATCGTTTATAACAATACAAATAATTTATGAAGTATCATGTTAAAATATATTTGAAAATCAGAATTGACAAGTGGAGTATACCTCAGGTGGCTCTTGATTCTCACAGGCTTCGAGTTTTTTCAAAATGTTTGGATCGTCTTCAGTGCAGTATTTATCAAAGAATTGTTTCATAATAGCCTGTTCTTTCTCATCTTGGTTGGCATTCTTATTTCCATTATTATTCTTTGCTTTCTTCTGTTTTTGTTTTTTCTGTGCCGATGCGCTGTAAACCAACGATATAACGAGTAATACACATAACAATCGACTTACACTCATTATAACGATGTGACAATTTTTGATTAACGAAAATGTTTTCATAAAATAGCAATTATAATGCTTTTGTAAGATTTAACTATTTCATTGTAAAAATAAATCACATTTTTATATTTATTCACCGACTTTATTAATGTAAACAATTGTGACATAATTCTAGGTAAATTCTTTATTGCTACTAATTAGTTATAAAAGATCGCATAAATTTGAACCGGCCAATTGGCTAATTTACAATGTATTTATAATAATAATAACTTGCCTAAATTATTAGTAATTTTTGAGTTAAATTAAATTATATTTAAAGAAATAAATAGTTTTAGTAAAAAATATTCAGTGTTTATTATACCTAATAAGCATTGTAGAAAAGTACTAAATTACTGTGTTTTATTCATATTACATATTATTTTGACAACTGTTTAATTAAATAAATAAAATAATGCCAAAGTTGTTTAAACACGATCAATTAATTACATTAAGAAATAAACTATTTATCAGTGCAAATTAACTTACAATTGTTAGTATTAATAAAGTAAATGTAGTAAATTAATATAAAAGTTTCACTACATAAACTTATTAAATGTTCTGATCAAATGAAACTAATGCTCATTAAATATATCTTTATAATAAATATCCAACGATGTTCTAAATACAGTATATTGTAAATAATAAATATATAAAAATATTTTTAAAACCAAGAATTTCAATCTATGGCAACGAATCACTTAAGAATCTTAAGTTAAGATATTATTACTAGAATTCAGTTATTTCTGAAACTTTATCTCAACAAAATACGTAATGTATCTCAAACAATGATCAGCGCATGAATGTTCACTACATCTAAATATTTACAATTAAATGTATTGTACATTATTAGACATTTCGTTAGCAATACGTGTAATAGATTATATAAAAGGGTGTTGTTTAACAAATTGTTTAAATTTGTGATTTTTTAAATACAGTGTATTCTAGATTCTCACAAATAAAGTAATTAATTTACTTACTGTATATTTCTTAAATCAATATTACATTTAAATTGATGTCATATAAGAATACAGTTGAAAGGGACGATACGGTGAAGGGTGAAGCCGGGAATGTAAGCAATACATCAATAGACATATCGCAAATACAAGTGAAGGTACCGGCGCTCGTTAGTAATGGTACGCTTAAAAAGCAATTTAAACTGGCGTATAGTGTAAGGGAGAGTCGGTATGATTACGCCCTCAACAGCCAAAACGTGGATAAGAACCGATACGGACGGTACGGATACGGTGTGCCGTTTGACGAAACGAGAGTAGTGTTGGACAGCAATAAAGGCAACGCTCACAGCGATTACATCAATGCGAGTCATGTGGACGGCTACCAGAGTCCGGGTCGGTATATCGCGTGTCAGGGCCCACAAACTCACACCATTGACGACATGTGGCGAATGGTGGCTCAGTTCGGGTGCCGACAGATAGTAATGCTCACCAAATCGCGAAGCGTTGACGACTGGCATTGCGCTAAGTATTGGCCCGACGTTTACAGCGCATCCACTTTCGGAGACATTGCGGTGAAAAGCACGGGAAGGACTGAAGTTTGCGATCACTATATGATTCGCTCATTTAACCTGGAGTTTGGGGGAGAAGTGCGTCCTATTGTACATTACAATTACACTTCTTGGCCCGATTGGGGAGTTCCCGATCGCTCCGGTTGTCAATCATTTCTCGATTTTGTTTGTCGTGTACGCGATTCTAAGCACTACGAGTCGGCTAAGCCTATTGTAGTCCACTGTTCGGCAGGTATTGGACGCACCGGTAGTTTCATATTAATAGACACGATGATAGAGATGGCCAAAGCGGAGAAAAGGATTGACATTTTTAAACAATTGCTTTTAATTAGAGAACAGAGAATGAATTTGGTTGAGGCATTTGAGCAATATGTATTCGTTCACCAAGTGCTTTTGGAGTGCCTTCAATCAAATTGATCATTGCACATTTATTAAAAGTATCTTTTCTTATAACTACTTAAAATGTTAATATTATTCGATTTGTAAGTTACAAAAGTTTATAAGTTATTTTCAAACTTGCTAACAAGCAAGTTGCTATTTAATATACAAGTGTAAGTGTTTGTAATTGATTGCTATTTATATATTTCGTAATAAATAATTATTTTAATTATTAATTTTAAATTTAGTATAATAAAACTTATGGAAACATTTTAAAATAAATATATGAAAATATATAATAAAATTTAGTTTCAAAATTACTTGAATGAGGCGTATTTATTTCAGAGGTGTAATGCAATCTGTTTTATTAACATTATTAAGTACATAACTAGTTCACAATGTCTTGGATTACTTATATGATTATTATAATTATAAAATTAGCACTATATCTTTATACAATAATAATAATAGAAATATAATACACTATTATTGATTATTGATTACACCATTATATTAATAGGATATTATAAACAATAGTAATATAAGTCGCTACTAAAAAATAATTTATTATTTAAATATAAACTGTAGTTAAATTCAATTTCTCCACATATTATAGATTAAATTGATATAGTTTAAAATACTCTATCAATAGTATTAAATTGCAAATATTTTACTAAATTAATTTAGTCGTCATTTTAATGAGAACTAAATGGTTATACAGTATTTTAGTCTATAAATTTTAATAAAGGTTCGTAAATTATTTTATCTCGTTATAAATCTTTAATAATTTATTTATTTCAGTATTTTTATTGAGAAACTGCTATTTGATTACGTAGAAACTATAACGCAAATTTTATATACCTAATCAATTATTAAAATTTTGTTCAACCCGAGTGAAATTAATTAAGATTCATTAGATACTTACAATTAAACAAACAAATAAAATATTCTAAAACAACTATAAATAGTTATTTTTATAATGGTAAATAAAAATGGTTTAAATACAGAAAATATTTAAGTCCCCTAAAAATATTAATTGATAATGAATATAGATTAGCAATATTTTATTTTTAAAAACCATTATAACACATGTAAAAGTCCTTTAAAACTATAAATGAGTTAATAAAACCTTACATTATTAAGAAGATTGAGCTCAAAAATAGATATTAAAAACTATAAAACATAAGTTTAATATTTTAAACATAAAATATAAATAATTTGATTGAACGATAGTTTGGTTTAATGTCAAATGTTGTAACGCCTTAATCACATTAAACTTTATAGTTAAAAATTGTTGTGTTTAAAAACATAATATTTTAAAGCGCCTGTATTGGCTCTATTAAATAAAGGCACCTCCTTATATTGAACTAGAGTTTTCCTCGTATAGAAATAATTGATTTGATAATAAAACATCTATCATATGATAATCATCTGTTGATTATAATCGTCATATATTGTTCTCAAATCGCTTTTTACAAATTTATTATCAAATGGATTTAATTGGTATAGAATTAGATAACCAACAGATATACTGCAATATGTTGTCCACAACTCCAACATTTTATCCATCAGTTATTACACCAAATAACTCGTCAACGGATTGTATGAAATGCGATGAGAGTGATGGCGGCCCCGAATTGTTGAATATATCGGCTTATAATCCAAATATTAGTAATGCCTCTAATAGTCTGCGAAATACTGTGGAGAGTGTAATCAATAGCAGCGATGATTTCAATACTAATGAAAATCAACACAATTTGGATCATATGTTAAAATGCATTCAAATAGAGGAGAAACAAAGCAAAGAAATGTTGATTAATTATCAAAAACATTACACAACCGGCTATTCATGTAACGTGAATCAAAATGAAGAGATGTTAACAATGAATGGGAATGTGAGCGCATCGGCACCAGAAATGCATACAAATAACTTCTTAAATGATGCAAATGAAGAACCAATTATCATAAAACAAACCAACGGTTTGAACGGCATTTATTCAGTATTAACACCTCCTAAATCGCCTCATATTGATCAACATTATTATAGAAAAAGTACGTGCGAAAGGTATGATACAAATTATAGCACTGGTATTATTGGGAAGACGTACCACCATCAAAATATTGATATTGAGAGTGATGTAGAAGTTACATCACAAATTGAAAAGTTTGGCTCGGATTCCGACGAAACAATTGTCTCAATAGACGATGAATTGGATGACAATTGCAAAGATAATGGCATCAGAAATACAGATTATGTCAATTGTGATGAACCGGAGTCTAATGTTGATCAACACAGGCGTCGGTATTACACACATCGTCCGCAAAACCGATATCATTATACAGATAGTAATGACAGCCATTGCGACCTAAGGAAACGATCGGCACATTTGTCGGCAGATTTGAGATATCGTACAAAACTAAACGACAGAATATCCGAACTGAGACTTATTGTGGACCCAAAGGGACAACTCTCCAAATCAAGTGTTTTGGGACTCAGTATTGATTTAATTAAGAAATTGCAAAAAAATAATAAGAAACTAAAGGATGAAAACAGACGTATTATGCGACTATTGATGCAAACATGCGGCCAAACGTCCAATAATAACAATTCACATCGTTTTGAAAAATAAGTTTATTATAAGAATTACACAGTATATACGTTATTAAAATTAAAAATTATAATAATATATTAAATCTATCAAAAAGTTAATATTATATTATATTCATAAACATGTAAATGCAATATTTTTTAAAAATAGAATTGATGGAAAATATTGTAAGTAAATTTATAATAAATAGACCTTATTTAATTAATATTTCTTTTCAATTAAGCGTACTGTTATTCTCGTCGTTCACAACTATTTAATGGTCATTGAAAAACATTGACTAAATTTTTTTTACTTAATTTTTATTATGGATAAATATATATTTAGATCATGAAATATATCATATTTAGATATGTTTATTACCTTTAATGATATTGATTGTAAGTATTTTTATAAAATTTTATTCTATAAATTAAATTCACAAAACATAAATTAAATTTTTATTTAAGAGGATTTATATTACCTAACAGTAAATCCTAATATTTTCCCCAATGGATAGAAGTATCGTTAATGCCAATCAATGGGGGGTAAATATTTACTCCTATATTATATCTATAATAATATTTTTAACAAAAAAATATATTGCCATTAAAGATTAATATGTTTTTTGGTACATGAGAAAAATGTTGGACATTTAATGATTTATTATATTCAACACTCGGACACTTATATTTGATGGCACTTACATTTAATTAAACAATAAATGCCACTTTCAGAGGATTGAATAAAATTGATAGAATTATACGTTAATTGAAACATTTATATCAACATAATCCAAAATTATAGTACAAATGTATTTTGGGACAAGTTTTATTAAAATATTTATATCAATTCTTTGTAATAATTGATAGATTTATAGAAAATTACTTTTAAGAACATATTGAATATTAAAATATTTAACAAACAATTAAAATAACTAATTTACAAATATTTCTAATTGCATTTTGTAAAATAAATAAATTTAAACTTATTTGAACAATAATTTTATTATATATTGTTAAATATTTTAAAATTGTTAGTTTGAATTAAATGATATCTAAGTGTCTATTGTATTGTTCAAAGTAATAAAATAAAATATATCTCATAAAAAATTTAATACATTATAAACAATAGAGTGGGGTCTAAATGGGAGAACACTGTTCTCAGAACAGTAAAAATGAGACAAACATTTATATAAATAAGAGAAATGATCACATCATGTATTAAAGACAAACATTATATAAAATGTAATCATATGTCAACACCAAATCCACTTGTCTTTGAATGTCAAAGCGTTGCCTTTGCTTTCATTTCAATCAAATTTGATTTACTCTTATTGTCTCTGTTTTGAGCATTCATTGTGTACATGATTTTCTTCAACTGTTCAAACGTAACGAACATACATACATTCCAAGTGCCCAAACGCATGAATGCCGGAATGAACCTAATCATTAATCACATATATCATTCATTATTATTTTTACCATACAATTCCTTAATTTAAATAGTACTAATTTTTTTTGCTACAATAAAGCTACATTTATTTATGAATTTTAAAATATCATACCCCTTATAAAAAGCAAGGAATCCGCCCTCTCGTGCCAATGCTTTAGTACAGTCCCAGACACTGGAGTAGCTGTTAGTCGAGTTCATATAACGTGTTTTGACCACATCGATTGGACTGGTAAGCAGGGTCGCACAGAATCCAGCTAATGCAAATTTATTATTTAATATTTTGCCATAAGTTTAACTGAACTAGTTTGTACTTTATATTATGTTATGAATGCACTTGTATAGTGTAAATTACAGTACATTATGAAGTGAAACACTTATTTATGAGTACAGTATAACGATAACGCTTACCACTTAAACCGGCGCTAAAATGACAGACCAGTCCGTCGCGGAAGAGTCCGGAATTGATGAGTACTTCTTTGATAGTGTCATAACAGACCAATTCGGCCACATTTACCACAGAATTGCGAACTATATTCGGCACAAAACCCTTCCAAAGGCCGCCCAAACCCTCGTGTTTAAGGATAGAGCGATAGGCGTGAACGGAGTTGTAGTAACGGAAAGTGCCGTTACCTCGATTCTGGGCCTGCATTCGCACTTTCACCACATCAGTTGGCTATTTAATAAAAAAATATACAATTAATAACCAAGTTCACAATGATAATAACAAATCTTACCTGAGCGAAACAAATACCAACGGTGCCGGTAGTGGAGGCTGATATGATCCTGATGAACATATTAGCGCCGTGCCCCTCACCAAGTTGTAGTTGATTTGTGTAAAGCTCTTTAACCGGTTCATAGAGACCAATACGAATGGATGCCAAAACGCATTGGCGTTGAAGGCCGGGCACAATACCGCCGTATAAACCCCGGAGCCCTTCATTGCGAGCCATTCCCATGAATGTACCCAAAAAGCCCTTATACTCGGCCGGTATTACAATTCCCTCAGCATTTAAGGCAACAGTTGTCGATATTTGGAGACGAACTTTTGTTACCTTCATTTTTGGTATGTTTTACATTATAAATGCCTTATTTTTATAGGTTTACAAATTTTATAAAATACTTACATCAAGAGGAAAGGTAGCCATATCGGCAATACAGGCGGCCGCACCGCCGCTTACCATCATTTGTATGAGGGATAGACCAGTTTCAGACATATTTTCAATTGTTGTAGTCTGCATTATAAAATTATTTACAATCTATTTAATTTAGATTATATAAACAATATTATATAGAAAAATTAAGTTTTAATTAAACTAAATAAAAACTTATTGAATTGAAACATTTGCTGCAAATATTTAAAATATAAAAGTTTGAAAATAACATTTCAAGGCATTAACTATAAACACAAGGATTGACAAAAAATAAATGTGTTTTTTTGACAAAAAAAATGGTCTGGCCTATTTCCAAAAAGTATATTTATACTTTGAAGATAATTAACGGAATTTTAAACTTTTTTATAAAGTTAAGTTAATAATAGTATTTGTCTTGATTCAAAGTTAAGCATTTAATTAGCCATTATAAGTTAGTAAATTTAGTAATAGTATGTTTAAAATAATTTTAATTATGTAATATAATGTGTATAATTAGACTATAATTTACTTACATTTAAGTAGTATGAGTATTTTATAATGAGATACAAATTAATTAACAAGTTAAGTTTGTGTAACTTATTGTTAATTTATTGGAAAAGTAAGCTTGTCAAAATTTTACTATTAAGCAAATTATGTTTTGCTAGCTTTATATACCCCTAAACATTATTATCGGACATACAATTTGGGATTACAGTGACATCAGTGCATTAATATAAGCGTCTATTGGTTTACCAACTAATTAAACAATTGGCTAAAAATAATAACAATTAAACGTAGTGTGTACTAGTTCAAACACTCTTTGTCCTTATAGTTTATCACAAAATATAGTGGGTTCAAAATATATAGAAAATTGTACTTGTACAATTGGTTTGCGTTCATTTAATTCAATTCATATGCCAATAAAGTCAATACTATAAATCATATAATAAATCAATAATAATAAGAAACCACTTATAACTAAGGATATGTCGCAATTTCTCTCTCTCTCTCTCTCTCTCTCTCTCTCTCTCTCTCTCATCATATGCTTGTATTGTAGACTCAATAAAACTGGAAATAACTGTCATTTCAAGTGTTTTAAGTTTTGAGTTAACACTTAAAGGGAAGTGAATAAAATATTTGCCATTTCAGTCAATGAATGCAAAGTTTAAGGGCTTTATTAAAGTAATAATTAAGTCTAAAACGTATTGCTATATAGTATTAGATAATATTTCATATGACTATTTAAGTTATAATTAGAGCACAACAATTTCAGGAATAAAAATAGTCCATAGAATTTTTATGAATAACATCCAGTTAGTTTTGAGGGTTATAATACAGTAAAAACATATTACTGTTCTAAAGTTATTCACATAAATGTTATATAACATATTTTGTGAAAACTTTTCTAAAAATTAACATTTTTCATTAAATATTTTAATGAAATATTGACTAAAATTACAAAAGCTATTATGAAGTTCACATAATATATGATAAGGAAATTATAAAACTAAAAGTTAAACTGAAGTTTTGTGTATAAGGTATTGACAGTAAAATTTAATGTAAATTAATATGCTTAAATAGCGGTAAAGTGACAATATATTGCTCTTTCAAAAAACATAACAGTATTTTCATAAAAGCATTATTTCCGAACTTGATTGTTTACTCTCGGTTTCCGACCGAATTTTGAAGATTTTATTCCCGAATATTTTCTGCTCTAGTTATAATCATCTTATGCACACTTTACTTACTTTATTATATAATATTGAAAATAAAGTATTAAATACTGTATTAATTTTGAGTGCATTTATATTCTCATTATATTCTTATAGATTATATTCAATGGAAATTTATTATGAGTTTTACCGGTATTTATATGTTTGGATCAAAGTTTGTTTAAACACTTTAAACAATTCATTTTAATACAAATTAAAGTTTATTAAAACTATAATAATGATAAATAAATTGTTATACAGTTTAATAATTTTTCCAATAAAATATTTTTAAAATGTTATGACATACACATCAAAAACTTGTGAAAACTGACAACATTAAATCTACTTAAATTTATTAGTCAACTATTTATTATAATTCATTTCTATGTGTTGTATAATTCTTCTGAAATTTGTGAGTTTTCATAAAAATACATAAAAAGGAAATAGTTTTTAATAAAATACAAACACCGACTAAATGAATGAGATTTGTCCAAAATATATGTTCATCGATGTCGAGGCCGTATAAAACGGCTGATGTGGTGCGACCAGAGCACCGGCCCTTTCCGTAGATCATTATAATCATAGATTCAAACGCTAACCGAATATAAGACAACTCGCTTAACAATTGTAAAGAATAATGTAGCTCTTTAATTGGGAATAAATTATTGCCCAAAACGAACACAAACACTTGAATTAGATTGGCTAATATTATTGACAATTTGGTATCATTTATAAATAAAATTGCACATATTTGAGACATACTTTGCGTGCATAAAATAATTAGTAAATTCAATGCAAATGAAAACACATAGAAAGCGGTAGTTTTATAGAGATTAATAATCCAGCAATAAATTGGTAGAGCTATTAGTATAGGTATGACATCTACTATTGTTCGGGTCCAGAGGTAGGCGCCGGTACTAAACCAACCTAAATCATACAAAATATAATTTGAAAACCATATTATCTTTAATGCTATCAATTTTATATACCGTTTTGTTGTTGCCTAAGAAAAACCTTAAAGTCTGTGCCAAAAGTGGCAGACATTACGAGTAATACAACGAATGCCACCGAAAGAAGTAAAGATACATTAAATTTAATATTTTCTTTAATGAGAGATTCTTTGTATATGTCTTCCAGTGTTTGATTGTAGTGAATGTCAAATATGAGTTCACGACAGCCGTCGGGAACTATAATATCGGCACTAAAATGCGATTTCATAATAATAGCAATCATTTGAAACGTTAAAAATTGCAATAAAACAGACATCCATTGGCACCGGAATGTATGGGTTAGCGATCGGCACATTAGATAATACAAGTCTGTGAAACTGAATCTCTTTGATATACCTAATGACCCATTTATTAAATGCATATTTGAACCAATTTTGAGATCATTTTCTGATAATGTGTTGTATTCAACAGTTTGTTCACAAATACTATCATTTTTCTCATTTGAGGCAAATTTTAGCAACACTTCAATCGGCACTTGATTTTCATTGCATTCAATGTGACAATCATTGAGATGTTGTCTCAAATGTTGGGGAACTCCTGAATACAGACAAACACCTCCTTTGGCCAACACATAGATGTTGTCAAACATATTAAACAAATCATTGTTTGGTTGATGTATGGATGCAATGATTGTCATCTCATGTCTTCGGGACAACGCTTTTAAACAGTTTATTACCTGAAAAAGAAAGTTAATAATAAATATCAAGTATTATATAACAGATACAAAGACTGACCACTTCTGCGGCATTGCTGTCGAGACCACTCGTCGGTTCGTCAATGCATAACATATTAGGCTTTATATGAGAAGTCAATTCACAGGCAATTACTATACGTTTTTGTTCGCCTCCACTACACGTCTCGACCCTATTGTCTGCCGTATCGCTGATCATCAGATCTGACATCAGTTCCTCCATTATTTTAGTGTCATTTAATTGATCCATAATTCTTGAGTTCTTAAGTCTCGACGCGTATAATAGGGTTTGTCTTACAGTCAGTCCCGATAACAAGTGTTCACAAACATCCGATTGGATGAAACAAGGTCTTAGTTCTTTTGAATTTACATAGATCTTTGAGTTTTCACTTAAACCATTTACATTCTGACCGTTTAAACACTTTAATAGCGTTGTCTTTCCCGCACCCGACGGTCCCATCAATGCTGTCATTGTATTCATAACAATACCGCCGCTTATATTGTCCAAAATAGTTTGTTGTTTTATCTTAAATAGGCCTGTTTTAACAGTGTAAGTAAGTTTACACCAGGCTATACAAATTTGATTAGTTGATTGATCACAAATATTATGTGCAATTAAATAGTTTGTTGGTTTCATGTCAATCGATTCTTCTCCTGTAAGTTCTGATGGCTCATCGTTTTTGATATTATTGTTTGTCAATAATTTTGGCAAATTTATAAACATGTGTTTGTTTTTAATCCAGAAAACAAACATTTCAATACAAATCAAAACTAAATAGTAGCAAATAAACCATTTAACATACGTTTGATATAACTGATCGGGATTTGAATCCAAACCAAACTCAATTAAAACCCTGTTGTCATTATCTTTGGGGCAACGATTAAAACCATAAATTAATATAAGCATTGAATTGTATAAATACTTATAATAATCAAAATCACTAAACATTTGCAACATTGGGATCAAACTTTTAATAGGAATGAAGTAATTATTATAACAAATTAATGTATTGGCCATTAATATTGAGGTAAATATTGCCATATTTTGATATTCAGATAATATTATGCCTATTATTGAAGCCAATGATTGTGTGCACAAAAATGTCATAATTATAATGTATAATAATTTGTATATCCGGTCATTTTCACCAAGTATTTCAATATAATATTGCAAAATAAACACATAAATCAAGGCATTTGCTATCATAAGCAATGAATCTGAGATAAATTTAGCCCAAAAATACAGGTAAGAATTATACCAATCTGAAATTTAGATATAAACAATTAATGGCATAATCATCATGCTTAAATAATAAGTATACAATATTTCACAAATAATTTAATATAATAGTTTTAACATAAAATGTTTGTATTTCTCACTCACTGTTGTTATATTCTGATGAAAATAGTTGCAAATCAGCGCCAAAACTGTTGCAAATGCTTGTCATTTGTATCATAAGAACAACCATTGATGAGAAAAATAAAAAGGTTTGATTTTGAAATAAAATACTATTTTCTTCTTCTATTTGAATAGATGTTTGATTGGAAACACGATTTAAATGCAAACAACCGTTTATTTCGCTGATTTTATCGCTAAAACATTTTGCAATTAATATATTAATGCCAATAAATAGTATTAATTGTTTGCAAACACTTTTATAATTGTTAATATAGTTTCTGTGCATAAATCTAGTGAATAGAAAGCACCGGCCCTTTCCGTAGATCATTATAATCATAGATTCAAACGCTAACCGAATATAAGACAACTCGCTTAACAATTGTAAAGAATAATGTAGCTCTTTAATTGGGAATAAATTATTGCCCAAAACAAATACAAACACTTGAATAAGATTGGCCAATATTATTGCCAATTTTGTATCATTTAGAAATAAAATTGCACATATTTGAGACATACTTTGCGTGCATAAAATAATTAGTAAATTCAATGCAAATGAAAACATATAGAAAGCGATAGTTTTATAGAGATTAATAATCCAGCAGTAAATTGGTAGAGCTATTAGTATAGGTATGACATCCACTATTGTTCGGGTCCAGAGGTAGGCGCCGGTACTAAACCAACCTTAATCATGCAAAATATGAATTAAAAATTATATTTTCTTTAATGCTATCAAATTTATATACCGTTTTGTTGTTGCCTAAGAAAAACCTTAAAGTCTGTGCCAAAAGTGGCAGACATTACGAGTAATACAACGAATGCCACCGAAAGAAGTAAAGAGACATTGAATTTAATATTTTCTTTAATGAGAGATTCTTTGTATATGTCTTCCAGTGTTTGATTGCAGTGAATGTCAAATATGAGTTCACGACAGCCGTCGGGAACTATAATATCGGCACTAAAATGCGATTTCATTATAACAGCAATCATTTGAAACGTTAAAAATTGCAATAAAACAGACATCCATTGGCACCAAAATGTATGGATAAGCGATCGGCACATTAGATAATACAAGTCTATGAAACTGAATCTCTTTGATATACCTAATGACCCATTTATTAAATGCATATCTGAACCAATTTTAAGATCATTTTCTAATAATGTGTTGTATTCAACAGTTTGTTCACAAATACTACCATTTTTCTCATTTGAGGCAAATTTGAGCAACACTTGAATCGGCACTTGATTTTCATTGCATTCAATGTGACAATCGTTGAGATGTTGTCTCAAGTGTTGGGGAACTCCTGAATACAGACAAACACCTCCTTTGGCTAACACATAGATGTTGTCAAACATATTAAACAAATCATTGTTTGGTTGATGTATGGATGCAATAATTGTCATCTCATGTCTTCGGGACAACGCTTTTAAACAGTTTATTATCTGAAAAGAAAGGGAATAATAAATATCAAGTATTATATATCATATACAAAGACTGACCACTTCTGCGGCATTGCTATCCAAACCACTCGTCGGTTCGTCAATACATAACATATTAGGCTTTATATGAGAAGTCAATTCACAGGCAATTACTATACGCTTCTGTTCGCCTCCACTACACGTCTCGACCCTATTGTCTGCCGTATCGCTGATCATCAGATCTGACATCAATTCCTCCACTATTTTATTGTCATTTAATTGATCCATAATTCTTGAGTTCTTAAGTCTCGACGCGTATAATAGGGTTTGTCTTACAGTCAGTCCCGATAACAAGTGTTCACAAACATCCGATTGAATCAAGCAAGGTCTTAGTTCTTTTGAATTTACATAGATCTTTGAGTTTTCACTTAAACCATTTACATTCTGACCGTTTAAACACTTTAATAGAGTTGTCTTTCCCGCACCCGACGGTCCCATCAATGCTGTCATTGTATTCATAACAATACCGCCGCTTATATTGTCCAGGATAGTTTGTTGTTTTATCTTAAATAGACCTGTTTTAACAGTGTATGTGAGTTTACACCAGGCTATACAAATTTGATTAGTTGATTGATCACAAATATTATGTGCAATTAAATAGTTTGTTGGTTTCATCTCAATCTCAATAGATTCTACTCCTGTAAGTTCTGATGGCTCGTCGTTTTTGATATCATTGTTTGTCAATAATTTTGGCAAATTTATAAACATGTGTTTGTTTTTAATCCAAAATACAAACATTTCAATACATATCAAAACTAAATAGTAGTAAATAAACCATGTTACATAGGTTTGATATAACTGTTCGGGATTTGAATTCAAACCAAACTCAACTAATACTTTGTTGTCATTACCTTTGGGGCAACGATTAAAGCCGTAAATTAATATAAGCATTGAATTGTATAAATACTTATAATAATCAAAATCACTAAACTTTTGCAACATTGGGATCAAACTTTTAATAGGAATGAAGTAATTATTATAACAAATTAATGTATTGGCCATTAATATTGAGGTAAATATTGCCATATTTTGATATTCAGATAATATTATGCCTATTATTGAAGCCAATGATTGTGTGCACAAAAATGTCATTATTATAATGTATAATAATTTGTATATCCGTTCATTTTCTCCGAGTATTTCAATATAATATTGCAAAATAAACACATAAATCAATGCATTTGCTATCATAAGCAATGAATCTGAGATAAATTTAGCCCAAAAATACAGGTAAGAATGATACCAATCTGAAATTTATATATAAACAATTAATGGCATAATCATCAGGCTTAAATAATAAGTATACAATATTTCATAAATAATTTCATATAATAATTTAACCATAAAATGTTTTTATTTCTTACTCACTGTTGTTATATTCTGATGAAAATAGTTGTATATCAGCGCCAAAACTGTTGCAAATACTTGTCATTTGTATCATAAGAACAACCATTGATGAGAAAAATAAAAATGTTTGATTTTGAAATAAAATACTATTTTCTTCTTCTATTTGAATACATGTTTGATTGGAAATACGATTTAAACGCAGACAACCGTCTATTTCGCTGATTTTATCGCTAAAACATTTTGCAATTAATATATTAATGCCAATAAATAGTATTAATTGTTTGCAAACACTTTTATAATTGTTAATATAGTTTCTGTGCATAAATCTAGTGAATAGATAAATGAAATCAATTGCTATAAAATCCTTTCCCATGATTTTAATTCCTCTTTTCATTTCAACTAAAGTATCGGTATTTAAAGTTAATTCATTATTTCTATGGCATAAATGCTTCACATCTTTATCCTGAAGTCCATTAAAACTTAATTTAATCAATACTTCAATCGGTACTTGATTTTCATTACATTCAATGTGACAATCATTGAGATGTTGTCTCAAGTGTTGGGGAACTCCTGAATACAGACAAACACCTCCTTTGGCCAACACATAGATGTTGTCAAACATATTAATCAAATCACTGTTTGGTTGATGTATACTAACGATGACAGATATGTTGTGATTTCTAGACAATTGCTTTAGACATTGTATTAACTAAAATAGAAATTATCTTATTTTATAGATAAATAAATAATATTGTGAATTAAAACATACAATGAGTGCTGAGTGTGTGTCGAGTCCAGTGGTCGGCTCATCGATGAACAGTAGGTATGGTTTCTCAATGGATGTCAACTCTAATGCAATGCAAATGCGTTTCATTTGTCCAGAACTACACCTCTCTATCCGATTATCCTTAATATCATTAATCAATAATTCTTGCATTAAATTCAAGACATTCTTCTTGTGATTGACTTCAAAACCACTTTCTTTTGCACTGTTTTTCAATTTTGATGAATAAGTCAACGCCTGACCAACTGTTAGACCAGTCATTACGCGTTGACTTTGATTTTGATACACAAAACATTTGCTCACATTTTGCTCTTTATTCACATATATAATCGAGGATTCAGTCAAACAGTATTTATTGCTTGCATTCAAACACTTTAAAAGAGTTGATTTCCCGGAACCCGAAGAACCCATCAATGCGTTCAACGATCGGCTCATAAACGCACCCGAAATGCCGTTTAATATCCTCTTCTCTTCGCCAAACACTGACGACCGGACGCTTACCGTTAGGTCTGTCCATCCAATTGCTGTCTCCGAAGTCATCCTTTACTCTAAAGAACTTAATTGCAAATCACTTTCACTGCAACTGAAGTATATCTAAAAAATGATAAAATTTTAAGTGTCTTTTAGTTAAAACTTTTACAAGAGATAAGAAATTAAGGGCAGAGAACCTAAACATTCATTAACTTTCTTTGACATTGACTATATAATACTCTCACGTTTTATAATGCAATGAGTTTTTTATATTTTTTACCTCAATGTAATTAAAATTCTAGTCTCGATACGTTTTTTATTTTCTAAAAATATATTCTTTAATGATATAAAATGTAATAATTATGGGGTTAAAGAGGTTGACATTAATTAATATTTCATGAAGAAAAATTGTGACAGTTTTAAAGTTTCCACGTTGGAGTATTTCAAATTTTAAAATATGTCAAATATAATATTGTCAAATTTTCTATTGCTGCAATTGATCTTAACTTATTGCATTGCACTGTAAACCTTGTTTAACATTATTATCTCATGTTGTGTTTAATAATCAAAAATTAGTGTCATTGTCAACAAATACATGAACGAGGGATACCCTGGTATATTCCCACACATTATCGTGTAATACATTATTTTTGTGGTCAAATTCTACTTTCCGTACAATAAAAATGGTTTAATAATTAAAAAATTATTGTGTTTAACCTGAAGGATGATTGTAATAATTATTATTTTAATCTAATAATCTTGATCATTTAACAAAGTTCTATGTTTTAAAAACAACTCATGGCAATTAGTAAAATCTCTGCTCATTGCCAAGACATTGCTCATTGCAGTCAACAAAACTGATAATCTGTTTGATAATAGTTTTAGATAATTTTTGTATAAATATAATGCCTAATATAAAAGTATTAACAATTTTATAATCTAATTTATTAATCATTGATCATTTGTGTCTTCTGATTAAATTAATATATTAAAAATGTATCAACAACCAATTTCAATTATACCAGATTTTATAACAGGTATTCAAGTAAAAATACCAATAATGTATAATTGTATAAGATATTTTTTAATATTAGATATTAGCTCAAAGCTTTTATCCTTTTAGCAATAATAACTAATTTAATTATTAAAATTCGCTAATATATTATAAAGAATATAACAAGTAAAGAAAGTAGTGTAAAATTAACATTAAATACAAATGTATACTCAAATCCTTTAAAAGCCATTAAAACAGTTTTAAATGAGTCTATCATTTTAAAAAGCATAAAGTTCTATCATTTCGAAGTTTACGTGAAGGTCGTGTCCATTAATTTGTTCACAGATTCTTTAATTTATTAAATACCAGTATATATACTGTATAACACTCTATAAAAGAGAATTCACTAAAACATGTTTGCAGTTTAAACTCTAAACTTTAGATCAATGTCTTTTGTGGAGATTTTATTTATGTAATATTATAAGAAAAATGTAAATTTTTTAAAAGATTCTATTTTATTTTT